GAGCGGCGGGGCCTGGCGTCCACCTGGGAGGCACTGTTGCCTCTTGTGGACTAGACGCACGGTTTGGCTTAGGTTTCTTCCAAGACTACTGACTGTAGGAAGTCTTGGCCCGCTCTGTTTTTCTATTTGTGTTTACCCTCAGTTGGGGCTGTATAATCGATTCTGCGGCTGATTGGCAAAACAGATCCAGAAGTGACCTATGTTAAAAATAGTAATTTTCTCTTCACCTGTTTTGAGCCACGATCACTTCTGTAAACTTATGTCGGCCACGTAGTGCTTATACTGGTAACGCTAGGGGAGATATCATAGGGTCTAGAATAAGCAGAAGAAGAATAAACCTGTTTAAGCTGATGTTCTTTCTGAGATTGATGTTCATCAAACTATCAAACCATAGCCTGATAAATACAGTTTTTGCCTCATGGATAGTTAGAACTGATCATCCATGCCCTAGTTCATAAAACTTTCTCACAAATTATTTCCTGTTTGATAGCAGTGTACTTCGTCACAGTAACAGGCTGATACCAGCTGATATAATCAAGTAGTAGAGCTGAGAATCTAATACCCAAGTAATAGTCTTTGGGTATTTACAAAAACAGAGTATACCCGTCAATACATGATGTAGACTTTTTTCTATTTCAGAGGAACAAGGCTGCAACATGCCCTGTTTTCTCACAGTTCCGTTTTAGGAGCTGGTCTTTGCCATTTATTCTTTGGATTTAGTGTCACATGCATCACTGTCTTTGTTGTACTGGATCCAGGAATCATTGGACCATCCTATGGTAATTTAAGTCACTAAAGGGACTTAAGAACTTTTAAGAAGAAAATAACTTCTTTTTTGGGTTAATTTTTGCTCTTTTGCTGGATTTAAATGGCACATAGAGGGGCCTAACAGAGCGCACACAAGGTGAGCCGCAAGGAGGGAACTGCCTATTCGTACATGGTAAATTGCTTATCAGCTCACGGGTTCTCCAAAAAGGAAAGACTCAGTTCTGTTCCAAAGAAACAGATGCTTACAGTGTTCCAACACTTCCTGCAACAGAGCTGTAGAGTCTGCTTTATTGGATCACTCTTTATAAATAAATTACTCTTTGATTTTGGCTAGATCTGTTGGGATGATCTTTACCACCAAGACAGCAACACAGAGTTAATAGAATGAGAGATTTTGCTGTTTCTTCTTTCATGGGTACTGTTTACTAGCTTTGTTTTGCCTGAAACACATCAGACTGTCCAGATAGTGGCAAGAGTATCTGTACTGGAATGTCTAATGAAAACTTGCTGCAGTTGAAGCTCTCCACCTTGCTCCCTGACATTACCATAGTCATCCTGAGCATACTAACAATGCTTAGGAGAAGAAATTGACTGAATGTGGAAAAATACATGTGGGGCTATAGAAGATTTAGTTGGTGCTGGTTAATGCTGGGTAACTGACTGCCTTTTTTAAACTTACATGAATTAGTCATTCAAACTGGCAATTTTAATTGTCCTGAAGTGGTATAGGCATTCCAACGAGCAAAGTGTAATAAAAGGTAATAAGCACTTAAGAGTGAAGCAATAACGGTGATATCAACAAATCCAGAGGCCGGTGTATGCAATATGATGGCTTAGATCACAGTTTTATATGAAACTAGCTCAACAAATAAATTAAAAATCCATCCATAACTTCTCCTGGAACTTTTCTTGATGTTCGTGATTTGGGTACATTCTCTGTCTGGTGAGGTTTTTTTCTCGCCCCCCACTGGAGCGGTAATTAGAATTTCTCACTTGGATATCGAGAACCTAAATCTTTGTAGAGAAGCCAAACAAATAGTCAGTCTTTGAAGATGTCTCCCAGCATAAGGTTGGAAGAGTGATAGTGCTAGTTTCAGTGCGTTGTAATCACGTACTTCCTGTATTGACTCTGCTTCTGACAGGCTTTACTGATGTTATCAGTCATAGTTCAAAGTGTCTGGGTCTGTGATGAAAAAAAAACAAAACACCTTAGAATGTATTTCCAACTCTTTCCGTAATAAATGCAAGAGATTGGTAAGGAAAACTGCATAGACAAACCAGTAGTAGTTCCAACTTAGTACACAGAAATTTGTTCTCACTTACGCTTTTTTGTATGCTAGTAGATTTCAGCAGTTTGTTAATGACTGTTCATAAAAAGATAGAAATATTGTGTCAGGTACAAAGCACCACCTAAGATTCGCAATCAGTTGCCTTCAACTTTTTGGGGGAAATGTTGAAGAGCAGAAAAACCGGCCATCAAGAAACAGCCAGAACAACAGCTTAAAATGTCTCTTTGATCATGCAAAATGCTGTTGTGCAGCACTTAATTATTTGCTTGTGTTACAGAAAGCAATAGACCTTGCTAGCAAGGCAGCGCAAGAAGATAAAGCAGGAAACTACGAGGAAGCCTTCCGCTTGTACCAACACGCTGTGCAGTATTTTCTCCATGTTGTTAAATGTAAGTGTAATGTGTTGGATAATTAAGTAGAGTTTAGTAGTCAAATTGCACAGAGTAATCTCTGATGTTGACACCAGTATTTAAATTTTTACTTTCATTGTCATCAGTTGATACTTGCTAGTTGTAGTTTGAGGTCATATAATTTGCAGCTTTTGCTTTGTGTGCTTGCTCCATTCTCGTAAGAATTCAGGTTATTTTTTACTTGTATTTTGTTTTAGGGTTTTTTAAGACAAGGAGGCAGGGGTTTGCTGTCTCTCATCTGGACTTTTGTAGCAATGTTTCAGGCTGACCACTGCACAAGAAAATGTGACAATAAGTACAGGGATCCTTGTATTTCTGTTGTGCTGAAAACCACGTGTTACACAAGAAGTCTTTGCTGTATCTATGGAGTTCTTTTTCCTCCTTAACTCATGCCGCTTACCTTTCTACAACGTCCCTGCTGGCATTTTTTGCTCCTCCTGAACTTGCTGTTCATCTTGGCCAACAAAATGTATGAGATGGATTTGTATGTTGTACATTTTCTTCAGTTTCCATATTCTCATTATTTTATGCCTTTTCACATGTCTGTGTACCTTTTGTGTCATGTCCAGTGTTTGTATGCAAGGAGTGGGCTTCCTTAATGTAGGCACAGCTCTAATGTAAGTGGGGTAGGGTTGCTCACCTGACATAAGTGCACTTACAGATCTACGTAATTTGAAAAAACTCAACTATTTTCTTTGCAGTCACAATAATTTATGCTTATCATTTCCTATCGATTTATATTTTATGGACTTTATCAGAATATCACTTTCTGTGCTTTTAACAATACTGATGTACTTTTGGAAACTTAACACATAGACGTATTGATTGCTGATTTGAAATACTGTAATAGTGAGTAAGAGAACAGTGTGGTTGTTGAACCACACCTAACTTTTTCAGATGTTTTATGTAATTTTTTTCTTTATGATGTGAACATCTTTTTAAAATTAGCAGGCTATGGAAAAATAAAGTATACTTCCAAATAAAAATTGCTTAGCCCAAGCAGCTTCTTGATGAGCTATTTTAGAAAAGGAATTATTAAGACAATGTATAGCAGCTTGAAAGGCTGACAGAAAAGCTTCCAGTGCCACTGTCTGTAATCCTTTACAGTCAAATTTTAAGCCAAAGCAATGTTCAGGTGTGTATTTGATTTCTGGTACGTGATGAAATCCTTCCTGTCGCTTCTTTCCATGGTATAGTGGAAAAAATAAGTAGTTGAGGTGTTTGGTTATATGGTGAGCCCTGAGAGAGATATATTGATAAGATACAAATATGGTGATTTAGTCTTGCTTTCTGATTGATGCACCTGTGTTTTGCTGTTAACAAAGCATTGTTTCTCTTCAAACTTAGATGAAGCACAGGGTGATAAAGCAAAACAGAGCATTAGAACGAAATGTACAGAATACTTGGACAGAGCAGAAAAGCTGAAAGAATATCTGAAAAAGAGACAAAAAACTGCACCAAAACCAGTTAAAGAGTCTGGTCCTACTGATGGAAAAGGGTATGTTTTTGGAGAAGGTAAAGCAAAATACTTCCTGAACTCAGCTCTTTCTAAAATTCAACTCTTCAAAGATCATTTAACTAGTCTTTTTTAAATGCTTCAGGTGACTACTAATGCTGAAATACAGTGGGCTAATAAAAGAAAAATAACATGAATTAGCATCACTGGCATTTCTGCTTGTTTACTAAAATGTGCAAACCTTTGCCTAGGAAATTCACGGAAGAATGAAAAGTTGTTTCAGACTAACACATGATTATCGGATTTAATGGCATTGAGACTGATGACCCTTAAATTTTTTTCTACATTCACATACTTACTAACTAGAAAATAAATTCAGGTTGATGATTACTGGGGCCTGAGTTTGATCTGTCTCACACTTGGTAAGAGATGCAAAGCTCTGTGTAGTTCTCTGCAAAGTTCTGTAAGATGGACTGAATCACTCTAATGCCTTGCTGCTGCATAGTCTCTCTGCTGCTTCCCTTTTATTAGATTTGTTTTTCACTTTGCGTACTAGAGAGCTGAACAAGCAGAACCTCTTTTGCATTTACTGCTGCCTTTATGGGGATAGGAGAGAAGGCAGCTTCAGGATGATACCTTCTGGTGGGATTGCGTGTTTTAGCAGTCCTGAACAGCTGGAGTTGCTCACTTGTCTCTTGAAACTTCTCTTGATTTTCAGTCTCCTTCATTGTCTACTTGTCTCATCAGTTTTATTTTTTGAGCTGTACTGTGTTCTGCTAGTTTATAATAGAAGGAAGTGGTAATATCACAGAGGCTACGTGTATTTTCGTGACCTCCACTCCAGTTGTTCACTATCTATTATTTTTTTTTCCCTCTTTAACTTCCAGTTTCCTTTGCTCTGACAAGACAAGGGCGTACAGTTTCATAGTACTAGATGGAATTGACCAAGTCCTGTTGCAATTCCAGATAGGGGACAAGTGCCAATGTCTACAAATAAACCATTTTAGCTCTTCCGTGTTGCTCGTTACAAGAGCTGTTGTTTCCTAAAGGCTGGCTCAAAGCATGTAGAAGTGTGGGCTCAGACTCATAAGAGGAAGTTGCAATGGTGAGGAGGGTGCATTAAAAAGGACATGGTGTAGAAAAGCAGGAGTACAATGATGCAAACTTGTGGAGATCTGAAAGCATGTCAAGGTTTCTTTCACTCCTCAGACTGGTGGTTTTTCTGCTTTTTTGCATTCTGATTTTTATCGTAAGACAGCAGTCTCTTTTATTGTATTTCAACTTTTTTTTTTTTCTTGTTTCCAAATCAGGAATGACAGTGATGGGGAAGGGGAGGCAGAGGATCCTGAAAAAAAGAAGCTGCAGAATCAACTTCAAGGTAATTTTGAAGCATCTGTTTCTTTAATTTAAAGAGGTGACTTCAGTCAAGCAAATTCCTACATTTTTGCCACCTAAATGTTATGGATTAACTTACTGTCTGTAAATGGCTCAACTAGTATGTACACCTCACGTACAAAAGCCTAGTCTGTATGGAAGTATGAGTTTGTGTGCTCTGAAATTATACAGTGACTATGTTGAAATGTATCTCCTGTACCCTGTGCTTCATGTTAAAATTGTACCATTTATCAGGATAACATTTTCCAATGGGAGAAGTTGCAAAATCCCGGGTAGCTATTGGCTAAACTGAATCAGTATTTTTTCCTCTTAAGTGCATTAGAGTATTGCCTAGAGGCTAAGGTAACAGGCACCATACAAACCCTTAGTGTAATCAGGACTATTTTGACAAAAAAGCTTGTGCTCAAGTTTAGGAGTTGAGAACGTGGATTCTTGCCCATTTATAGTAACGGGCAGCGTTTTCTTATATGCAGTGATGGTGCTTTCCCAGTTGAGTAACATTGAGTTGGGTTTTTGAACTCAAATGCTGAATACAGTCAGTGATGCAATGTATAGAGCTACCAGTAGTTTTGTACACAGTAAAAAAGAGGTTTTGTTTGATATTTATTACCCTTTAATGATGAAGAACTGTTCACAGCTTCCCTGCCAGAAGGTGCTTATGGATCTGAAAAAAGTTCATTGTTCTCATCCTATTTTTCAGTGTAACAAAGATGAAATGCATTTACCAGATCTCTCTGCCTGTGTAATTTGAGGAGCTATTGTATCATATTTGGAAACTGTGTCATGCTTTTTCTACTTTTCTGCACACCTAATCCTATGCACAGTTATATGGGACAGTTTCCTATACTTTAAAATTACAGAAAAATGATAAGCATTGGACTCTTATCCTGTCTCTGACTACAAAGACTTTGTTTCTTCCCACATGAATCTAACCTTCAGTTCTTACTCCAAGAAAGTTTCTTGCACCCACCATTTCTTTGATAAAATGACAACGTTCTTGCTTGAAAGTCTGAGATCCTTGGTACCTTTAAACTTAACACAGGAATCTGTTACTCAGATAGTACAAGCTCTGGGCAGCCTTCAGGCTACGCATTTTCATTTTGCTTCCCGTAACAGCCACAGAGATTTCCTGTATTTAATTTTGCTGCCTTGTTACTCCTAGCTGACTTTGCTTTATGCAGCTTTCCCAAATCTGTGGGTATTTGTCAAGATTTTAATTACAATAGCAACTTGGCTTATTGTGGGAGAAGTGACTATAACATTCAGACTGGATAATAGTTGTGGTTCTGTTGTCATATACTCTTGTTTAGAATTTTAAAGGCCTTTTGCACTCTATTGCTTAATCTTCCAGCTATTAATTTACACCTGCAAAATTATGAAGCCTACAAATCCAGTTCCATTTCTGTCCTGGTACAGGTAATCTCTTATAGTGCAGTGACTTCAGTTACCATGGTGTATCTGGTGCAGATAACTCTGATATTTCAACTTTTAAATAATCTCCTATTCCTATCTGAACTGTTACCTATTCTGCTAATTATTTTAGTGATGGAGCCTATAGTTGTGTTTACTTTAAGAAAAACTGAGATATAATCAACCTAGAAAAAGGATTTAATGCACTGGAAGTGGGTGGGTGAATTAATTCCAGAATACAGATTGCAAGCTAAGACAGTTTGCAATGAACTTTGTCTATGACATTTGTAATAATATCATGTTGCTTTGGGACTCTAAATTCCAAATTGTTAACAATTGCAATTGTTAACAGAAATCGTTCATTTCAATCTGATAGAAAAGGAATGCAGCAAAAGAAAAAATCTCAAACGAGCCACTTAAAAAGTAAGCAGGTGTTATTTGCTTTATTCATTAGCCAGTGAGTAACAGTAAATTTTGAATCCTGTAGAAGAAAAAAAGCCTTACATTACTTCACAGAGCCCTGAAGGCATAAGGTGAAAGTGGTTTTCACCAGCTATTTTCTTGACAATCGTGAAATGATAGAAAGCCCCTTGTAGACAAATAGGGCAACCGAAACTTTCAGTGTATTTGAGTACTTAAATAAGCATTGGGTTCGTTAGCATTTGTTCATCTGAGAAAATTTCTTACTTTTTAGATTTGCCTTGGCTAGGATTACAAAATCTCATATGCAATTACTAGCTCAGATACAAGTTGTCCCATGTAAAAGTAGTCAAGACAAAATCATATTTAGCATGTCACAGTAACCAATCTGACATCTGAAGAGAAGGCTAAATTACCGCTCAGTTAGCTAAAATCAAGCTCAACTTCTTGATTGAGCAAAATAAGACTTGGTGATAAACTTTGAGAGAACATGGCTAGACTAAGATACTTCTGCAGCTAAGCAGGCTCCATATAACCTTTCTGGAGCTTTCAGCCCTAGCTGTCAAAGATCTTTGCCGTTAGATGATCCAATTATTTGCTGCGCATCTGGAGATACGTGACAAGTTACTTAATCTGCTGGAGAATCTTACAAATCCTGGGCTAGTGAGCCACCTTGCTTCCCTTGTTTAAAATGAACTTTCCGATTTTTCAGGAAGTACAATGGTGGTTTAGTGAGGAGATGGTGCCTGGGTACCTATTAGAGAAGGTACTCCTCTGTGACTACTAAATGCACATTTACTGGTCAGTTATGGACTAGCTTTGACCATTGCCGGACTTCTGCTAACTCTCAAGTATTCTGGTTATCTGTGGTTTATTGTGGTAAAACAATGTGATAGATTTCTGTAGAAATAACATCCATTTGACTAACAATTTAGATCTACTTAGAAATGCCTTGTTTTTATGCAGTATGGACATGGGCATAGATTTCTTAATTATTTTTTTTCCAAAATGGAATTTATTGAAGTTGTGAAAAGATCTGCATCACTAATTTATACAATCTTTTCTTACAGGAGCCATTGTTATGGAGCGACCAAATGTCAAGTGGAGTGATGTTGCTGGCCTCGAAGGTGCCAAAGAAGCACTTAAAGAAGCAGTGATCTTGCCAATTAAATTTCCACACCTGTTTACAGGTCAGAATTATAGTATTTATTTGCTATTGCCCTGTCAGGACCAGCACTGAGATCAGAGAACAGTGTTATGCCAATGTATCAGAGACTCAAGCTGAACTCTTAACAAAAGAGATTGTGATCCATCTGACAGAAGTTTCATGGGTAGATGTGGAAAACCTCTGAGTAAATTAGAGGAGCTTCATCAGAAGATTAGGTTCAGTCTTTCTACAGTATTTTGAAGACTGCCGGTTTCTCTCTTGCAGGAAAGAGAACACCCTGGAGAGGGATTCTCCTGTTTGGACCACCAGGAACAGGAAAGTCTTACTTAGCAAAAGCTGTGGCAACAGAAGCAAACAACTCTACCTTCTTCTCAGTATCTTCCTCTGACCTTGTCTCAAAGTGGTTAGGTGAAAGTGAAAAGTAAGTTGGAGTTGCCAGAGGTCCAGGAAGACATTGGCAATAAGAAATTAATATAGAGCTAGATAACTTGCTGTAAGGAAATTGAATTTGAGGGAGAGGTCATGTCTTTTTAAAAACAAACTTCAGGTGTTTCAATGCTTTGTGCTGCAGTGCCACGTAAAGATACCTTATGCTATGTTTTGTGCTGCTGCAGCTGGACCTCTCTTCAGTGCTCAAGATAGTTTTTAAAACTAGCTCAGAAAGGTTTCAGGAGCACCATGGAGCTCATTCCCCTTCTGAACTTAGCTGTGACTGCACACTACATCAGTCTGAAGTGTTGGGGTTCTCTGCCTCTTGGCATCTCCCCGCTCATCTGTCTCAGCAGCTGTGCTGTTAACACGTGGCATTTCTTTGTCCATACGGAGGTGGTTTTTTTTATCCTGATTTCAAACAAAATTTGGAAGGCAGAAGAGACTTGCAGAAATAGGTTGAAGGAGAGGAGCAGCCATGAAAGAAAATTTCCTGATTCCCCATGTTAACTCTTTGTGTGTTACTGTGTAATATGTGAAGAAGACCAGGAAGCCTTATGTGACATGTTAACTGCAGTCTAGAAGTGCAGGAATTTGTCTGTTTAGGCTTCCAGTGAAGATTTCCTGAGTTAAGAAAAAGCTCTGGGTTTGTTGTACAGAGAGAACTTTCATATGATGATAAGAATATTTGTCAAAACCATACTTTAATAGTTTGAAGTATGGGACAACTGAGCAACACTATTTAAAGTTGATAGGATGAGGAAGAAAGGCCATTACATGAAGTGTTTGAGCTGTTTGGTGGTTGTTTTGGGGTTTTTTTTCCCCCCAAAAGCTGGAAACCTTAAGCTGCTTTTATTCTGTTGCAAAAGGAGTACAGAACTGGAATCCAGCTTGACATTTTTTCTGTTTGACTTCATTTGAGACTATTGCCCGAGAGTTAGTGCTGGTAATGTGAACAATTTCCCAACATGTTCCTATTTATTTTCCTTTTTAACTTAGCAAAATGTGTTAGTAAGATATGGCTGCATTTTTTGATTGGTTTTTATTTTTGCAAACCAACTTTTCTTGTCATATAAAAAGTATTTAGTAAAGTTGTATAAAATAAATATACATGTTAATGCTTACAAAATCTCTAGAGTTAATCTGATTAGGTTATAAATGTTGAATAAGAGAAAGCCATGTTCTTTTGGAACTGTCTAGAGTGGTGCTTTTGTATAGTCCAGGCTGTCTTGTAGAAATGTAAACCGAAAAAGGGCTTTTTCTTGCAAAACCGTGCCTGAAGTACTCTAGAACGTTTCACCTCCCTTTATGCTGGGCTATCTCACTTGGTATAATGCTGAATCTTGGAGCTGGAAAAATGTTGTATCTTTGAGTAGCTTTATATTAATACTTTTCCTTTTTTAGCTGTCTCTAAAGGAAGTGACTCTATCATAATCTTAAGTTACGTGTCTTTACAGGTGTAATCATTAAGATAACTGAAGCTCTTTCCTTTTTTAAGACTAGTGAAAAACTTGTTCCAGCTTGCCAGAGAAAACAAACCTTCTATTATCTTCATTGATGAGATAGATTCCCTCTGCGGGTCAAGAAGTGAAAATGAAAGTGAGGCTGCTAGACGGATAAAAACAGAATTTCTAGTCCAGATGCAAGGTAAGTTTACTTGGTTTTCAGAATCAAAGGAATTAAGAATGTATTTTAAGCATAGCTTGAATGAGAACAGTAAAAAGATCTGCAGTTCCACCCCATTAAATTTTGACTACGTTTTAAAACACTCTCTCTTCATCATCTAAACGGTGAAATGATTTCTGCCCTAATACAGGGGTTGGTATTGACAATGAAGGAATCTTGGTCTTAGGAGCGACAAACGTACCCTGGGTTTTGGATTCTGCTATCAGGAGACGGTATGATGGCATTTTTTTTCATGGTATGAAATTTGCAACTGTTGTGAGGGTTCAGTCTGGGACTACTTGAGGTAGTAATCCAGCTTATGTTTGCAACATGGCTGATGTTCTACAACTCAGTTCCATGAGAGGGACTGAGCCAAACTAATAGCCCCTTGCCCTTTTAAAGAGGTGGGTTGTTTACTCTTTTGTTGGCCCTGTAGTTTATTTGATTTCTTGGTTAGATGGTTGTGCTTGAGCAAGCAGAAAACTATTCTGTTTCCTTGTTGGTTGGCTTTCTGGTGGGCTTGGGAGACAAGTTAGAAAATATGTACCTCAGAAGGGCAAGAGCGGGTAGAGCTTTCATTTTCAGCTGTTAACAAACTGTTGAGTAGTTTGAGCTCTTTCATAGAAACGTAGCCTTATGTTACACAGAAATACCATGTTTTTCTACTGGTCACGCATAGTTTGTGATCTTTTGAGCATGCTTTAACTGCTGTTTTGTAGATAAAGGGCTTCCATACCTGTATCTGATTAGCTGGATCTTTCTTTGAGCTGCAGAGCAGCAGAGGACAAATACAGCTATGTGGACATGATTAGATTGTGATGAGGGGACAGCTTGGATAATGGTCATTTTTGTAGGCTAAACAAACATTACTTTCTTTGTGACTGCCACTGACCTTTATTTATATACTTAATTCAATCTGGCCATACTTTGACTGGGGGTTGGACCAGGTGTCCTCCAGAGATCGCTTCCAACCTGTGTAACTATAGTTTTGTGTAAGACTTAGATGTGAATGTGTTGCTTAAAATTTCAAGTCATTCTTGAAATTACAGCTGTGGGGTCTACAGTACAAGACAGACATGGACCTGATTGAGTGGGTCTGGAAGGGAGTCATGAAAATGATGAGAGGGCTGGAACACTTCTCCTGTGAAGACAGGCTGAGAGAGTTGGGGTTGTTTAGCCTGGAGTAGAGATGGCTCAAGGGAGACCTCATTGTGGCCTTTCAATATATAAAGGGGGCTTAAAAGAAAGATGGAGAGATGTTAGGGTTTTTTTTTAACCAAGGCCCGTAGTGACAGGACAAGGGGCAATGGTATCAAACTGAAAGAGGATAGGTTTAGGTCGGACAACAGGAAGAAACTTTTTACAATGAGGGTGGTGAGGCACTGGAACACGTTGCACGGAAGTTGTGGATGTCCCATCATTGAAGTGCTCAAGGCCAGGCTGGATGAGGCTTTGAGCCAACCTGATCTAGTGGAAGGTGTCCCTGCCCCCAGCAGGGGGTTTGGACTAGATGACCTTTAAAGGTCCTTCCCAACCCAAACCATTCTTTGATTCTCTGCAGTGTGAAAGAGTAGCTCTCTAACTCTTGTCCATAAGACTTAAAGCAACTTGTACAAAAATGGCAGTAATCAAATTAATTTTTCATGGATTTGGCCCACTTTGTCATGTATATCAAGTTAATTGCGTTCTATGGAATTTGGAGTTGCTCGCTCTTTGTTGGTGGGAGGTAATCCCCACTGTGAGAACAGATGCTGCTTCAAAGGAAGAACTGTGGTTATCAACGTTTTCTACTGACAACTGTATTGAGAATATGACTTCAAATTTGCTTCCAACTATGAGGTCTTCCTTAATTTAGTTGGAGACTAGAAAGTGGTTGTGTCAGCTTCTTACCAGGCGGCATTTTCTTTGAATGTGAAAACTGTTCAAATACACTTCAACACTTAAAGACTTTGTCCCCTCAGTGTGTTTTCTTTTAAAACACAAACTCTGCAGGAGAGAATCTGGAAAAACGTCAGTCTTAAGAGAAGATCTTGTTCATGAAAAGGAAGTAGTTGTTATATTCTGGATGTTAGATTATGCTAGCTATAGTATTATTTATGAGAACAGGCTGTTGAATATTTGCCTTAGAATTTTTTTTTTAAAGGTTTATAATACTGAAACTGCTCCTTTCTAATATTGTTAGGAGCAAACTATATACTTATTTGCATAAGCTTCTTTCTACAGTGCACCTGCATGAGCTAGCATCTGTGGAACATTCTGTTTTTTCTCTTTTAAACCAGGTTCGAGAAGCGTATTTTTATTCCTTTACCTGAAGACCATGCCAGGACTTCGATGTTCAAACTTCACCTTGGGTCAACTCCAAATCTCCTAACAGAATCAGATTATCGAGAGCTTGGAAAGAGAACTGATGGCTATTCTGGTGCAGATATAAGCGTCATTGTACGTGATGCACTGATGCAGCCTGTTAGGAAAGTGCAATCAGCTACTCACTTTAAAAAAGTAAGTAGGAATCAAAAGTTTTTTGAGTTATTTCATCTCTGAGAACTATCTTAATTTGAAAATTTGGTTTTGGGTAATACTACACGCTTATGGATGCCCTTTTTATCAACCAGGGGAAAAATTGAGTATTCCTACTCTTTTTTTTGTTTGTTTTTTTTTTTGTTTGTTTGTGGCTTTTTTTTTTTTTTGCCCTTGCTCCATCCCTCCTCAGTCCAGTGGTAATTTTGGTAGAGCTAGTTTCTGGGTATTCATGCTGTGTAATCCAAGCTCTGATGAGACTTCATGTCTCTAGGTAGTTAAAAGCATTCAGTTTGAAGTTTGACTTAAATGGGAATGTTACAGAGGTGCCCTTTTTCTAGATCAAGTTCCGTGGTTCTTCATATTTTTCTAGTATGTTTAAATAAATGTATCCCTCATCCACATGGGAAGAGGTGTATTATAATTATGCACATTCTGCTTACTTGGTATGTTTTTTGAACTGAAAAATGAAGATTCTTGTAAAGTTCTGGTAAAAACTTTGAATCAATGTTACTTGCAACAGTCGTAAAGATGCAAGACAACTGAGCAAGGTCTGTGTTTCATTGTTTACAGCAGCATCCATAGGATGCTCCATGCTGCCCAATGTGAAAACTAATTTACACTTACTTAGGTGCACTCTAAAGAGACTATTGAAACTATATCGTTTGTCGTATCTTGCAGTTACCTCTACAGACTATGTACTGACTTAAGAAACGCTTCTTCCGAATGTTTGGATCTCAGAAACTTTATCTGACAAAGAACCAATTAGAGTTTTTTAGCACCAATCTAAATCCATGAAACCTGGGAATGCTTCCCCACCCCAGAGAATTGCACGTATAGGTCTTGTTCAATCAAATTAATTGTTCCCTATAAACTATTAAGCTATTAGGTGGACAAAAAAAGTGTGATAATGTTATCAATGGTTATAAACAGAGTTCCAAATACCTTCAACATGTATATTGGTTAAATAAAATTGTATTTTTCCTGTGTAATACTTTTTTTAGAGCAGACCTAGACTAAAAGTTTGGGGGTTTTTTTACATTTTTACTGTAGACTTTGATTTTTACAGAAATTCACATATCTTGGGTGAAGGTGGGTCAAGGTATTCTGCAGAGGTTTTTGCTGCTGTAAAGGGAAGCTTTCATTTGTTGCTCCGTAAAAGAGCAGTTGTGGGGTTGGGTAGGGTAGGAAAAATTTTAGATCCTAAGCTGTCAAGAGATACAGACCATGTAACTTGTGTTGGCAGCAGTTCTTCATTATCTCAGTTACAATTACAATTTTTTTACCATAACTCAGCCTGACATAAAAGGGTTAAGGGCCCTAAACTGAACAGCCACAGTTACTTTGAATTGAAGATAGGCTCTTTTTTTCCATGTAGTTTCTTCCAAGGAACACATTCAGCGTAAGATTTGAAGAGAAAGGAACACTTAAATCCAAAATGGTCCAGAATGAGAGGACTATGTAAGTTTCTAGAGCCTGCATTGAGAAAACCTTGGTCAACTTTGTAGTTATTAAAATAAACCTGCAGCCTG